GCAGCCCAGGATACAGTTGGCTTTCTGGGCTGCAAGTGCACATTGCTGGGTCATGTTGAGCTTCTCATAAACCAAGTCCTTCTCCTCAAGGCTGCTCTGAATCCATTCTCTGCCCAGCCTGTATGTGTGCTTGGGATTGCCCCGACGCATGTGCAGGACCTTGCACTTGACCTTGTTGAACTTCATGAGGTTCACATGGGCCCACCTCTCAAGCCTGTCCAAATTCCTCTGGATGGCATCCCTTCCCTCAGGCATGTTGACCACACCACACAGCTTGGTGTCGTCAGCAAACTTGCTGAGGGTGCACTCGATCCCACTGTTCACGTCGCCGACAAAGATGTTAAACAGTGCTGGTCCCAATACCGGCCCCTGAGGAACGCCACTCGTCACTGGTCTCCACTTGGACATCGAGCCATTGACCGCAACTGTCTGAGTGCGACCATCCAGCCAACTCCTTATCCACTGAGTGCTCCATCCGTCAAATCCATGTCTCTCCAATTTAGAGACAAGGATGTTGTGCAGGACGGTGTCAAATGCTTTGCACAAGTCCAGGTATTTTAGAAAATTGTAAATGACTTCTTTTTTAACTTTAAAAAGAAAGTCCTCACCTCTCAATAACCTGTGTCCTTCATGTAAGCTGAGAGGAAGCAGGACATATGAACCACACTGCATTGCTCAGTATGATTAATCTCAACTTTTGCTTTCAAGTTGGGAATTAATCTTTTTGCAGCATGTGATTTTTAATCCATTTACTGAGAAAAACCTATGAAAAAGACTCTACGGGAATTCACCATCTGCATGGGAGAGCAGGATTAAGCTGGGTGGGGAAACTTCCCCCCCGCCCGAGTTTTGTGCAGTTTTACATCATGCCATTTTTTGGCTGTCCACAGACTACAGTTTGTGCTCGGTTCCCCCCCCCAGGCCTGCCAACAGCGCTGTGGTTTCTTTGGCATTTGGACGCTACATGCTGGAGCCGTTTTTTGCCCCCTGTGCAGCTCCTGTCCCTGCTGTGAAGCTCGTGTCTCTCCTGGGGTACTGTAAGTACTAACTTTTATGGGAATGCCGATCTCCGAGCCTCTCTGCCCTGGACCAGGGGCACTTATGGGGTGCTATCTTCTGGGATAACTGTGGGATTGGGGCCCTGTCTTACCTCCTTGGCCACCCAAAACTTCCTGATCCAAGGTGCTGGTTTGGGGCCACTATGTTCTCCAAGAAGGGGAATGGGCCTCCCTGTTGACCAGCTGGAGCCCTAGGTCGGGGGGATTATGCCAAGTATGGGAGTAGAAACTCTTCATGTATAAGTGTGCAAATGCCACCTGGGTTGAGGGTGTAAGGCTCAAGGTTTTGGACTCCTCGCCTGGTGCACCCAGCCTGTGAAGCTGTCCTCCCTGCTCCGGGCTGGTGTTGGTGTTGGCACGGGGACCGCTGTGAAGAGGGCTGCTGAGATGTCCCTGCAAACTTATACCTTCCCCCCAGGCAGGCATGGATCACCCAACAGGAACCAGGCTCTTGGTCCCTCTTAGGATCATAACTCAGCTCCCCCTTCAAATGCTACACACTGAGCCATACCTGTAATGTTTTCTGACATCTCTCATCCCGGGCATCCTCTCTGTAAAGATGCAGCCTTCTCCCTAGCATCCCTAGAGCAGGGAGCACTGCTGTGTTTTTTTTCCTGTGTGCATCAAGCATGGGCTACAGCTGTAGCAGTGTGGTCTCCTCTCCAGACATGGTCCTCACCCTCAATTCCTGGAGTGTCACCTGGAGTGCCCGGCTGCAGACGGCTCTCTCCATCATCAAACTCCTGGCTCTTGCACTCATCATCGTGCCAGGGATGATGCTGCTGGCCCAGGGTAGGTGTGCTGCTGCGTGGCTGAGGGATGGTGCTCGACATGCCTGCCTGTCACGGCTTTTATCAGTCCCTAGTGACAAGTGTGGTCCTCCTATAGCTGGCAGGAGCTTTCTCTGCCTGTGTGCTGGATGTGAATTAGCTGGGAGCTGAGACCAGGGTAGTTGGCACTAAGCTGCATCATTGCACTGGGCTGATGCAACTGGCTCAGCTGTGCTTTCTCCGAAACTGAGCGAGCCTCAGTGCCTGAGGCTGTGTGAGCCTACCCAGGGTCATACAGGCACCTTCCTCTGCAGATGGCCTTTCTTTGGTGTCAGACTTGCCTTTTTTCAGCGTGGCTCGAAAACCTTCCAAAGCAGCACAATTTTGATGGACATCAGGGATGTGTGACGGCATCCCATGGTGACCCGAGCCAGTCACAGCTGTGTAATGAGTTACCAGCCCTCAGCTGAGCCCTGGTAACTGCATCTCTAACCTTTCTGTGGCTTAAGCTAACGGGTTTTTACCTCCTAATTGAGATGGGTGGTAGCTTAGTAAACTTACAGTGGACTCGTGCAGGATTGGACACTCACATCCAGAGTGGGGGAAAAAAACCTGCCAGTAGTATCTTCCGGGAATGACACAAGAGTAATGGCTTTAATCCAAGCCTCAGTTTATAGAAAAGCCCAAGGCATTCCCACTCAGGGGATAAAGCCTGCTCCCTCTTCATGCTGTTACCTTCCTCTGCAGAGAAAACAACACAGGCAGCAGGTTCCACATTCATGTTCCTTTCTGATGTCTGGAGCTGGCTCCTTTGAACATGCAAAGATCCCCTCGGGCTGGCAGCACTTCTAAACCGAAGGACTGCCCCGCAGCTAGAAATCCTGAGCCATTATTGTGAGGCATGCCTTCAAATGACAATCTGGAGCCCTGGCACCCGTCCTCCTTCAGCGAGGAGGATAAGTGCTGGTGACATCTGGAGGGGAGAATTCACCAAGAGACCCCAATATGACAGGTTGTATTTAACGTGACTCATGGGGGACTGTAAATCACTCATTAATGTACTGCAGACGATAAATCCTTTTCATGCACCATCACTTATCAGCAATCATTTTAGAACATAAAAAGACTACTCCAATAGGCCCACTCCCATATTTTAGTTTAGTTTTCTTCAAATCTACAGGTTGTATTTAACGTGACTCATGGGGGACTGTAAATCACTCATTAATGTACTGCAGACGATAAATCCTTTTCATGCACCATCACTTATCAGCAATCATTTTAGAACATAAAAAGACTACTCCAATAGGCCCACTCCCATATTTTAGTTTAGTTTTCTTCAAATCTATTTTCTTTTTGACTTGTTTTTTGTGCTTAAAAATCAGTTTTGTGCTTTTAAATCAGTTTGCCTGATTCCCCTGCCTTGTTCTACTTTTTTTGGTTACACCCTTGTCCTTTCCTCTGCCATTACCTTCCCTTTGGCTCAGGTTTGTTTTAGAGACTTGCTGGGCCAGCGTTTCAAACCCAAATGCCCAAATCTCGTCACAGATCTCCTTGCAGAGGCAATTCCATAGAAGTGGCCTGACTTTCTCCATGTGCTCCATGCCATTTCACCCCTTTCCTGGTGAATCCCAACTAGGCGAGCTCCACACCCTTTACTTTTAAAGAGAATTTGATATGGAGAACTGAATACAGATGTGGAACCAAACCTTGGGCCACCTGGATTTGAAAATGTTGGAAATACAACTCCTTTTGACTGTGTTTTTTATTGGTCTTCCTTTGAATGAGAGGCCATTAGGTGTTTCTCCCTTCCCTAGTTTTTTCTGGAGTTTGATAAAATATGGTTCATATCCAAAATCTTGATTTTTTTTTTTTTTTTTTTTTTTTTTTTTGGTGGTGTTATTTCAAGCAGAGAACTTTTAGGAAAATTGGGGGAGTTGGTAAAACGGGATCACTGTCTGAGCCACCTCTACTTTTTAAATTTTATTTGTTTTGCCCTCTGTGTCCTCAGTTCCTCCTGCGGGCGAGCCTCGGTGGCTGGCAGGTGCGGCGGGCAGGGAGTGTGCCCGGAGTGGGGGGCCCGGCGGGCGGGGGGCCGCCCCGCCCCCCCCCCCCCCATGCTTCAGCCAGCGTAGGGCTGGGGTCAGCGCTCCAGCAGCGGGATCAGGAGGGAGCACAGTGAGGGCTGAATTAGCCGCCTCGCTGGCTGCACCACATCAAAGAGGAGTGTGCATCCAGATGCTTAGGGGGCTGGGGGGGGTGGAAGAGGGGGGGTCAACCCAGCGAATTAATTTTGGGCCTAAAGAAAGGACAGGACAACTTGGGTCCTTTCGTCTCCATGATCTCCCGTTCCCACAGCAGGTTCTGTCTGAAAAGGAACTAGCCGCCACCGTTGCCTTTCCTGAAATGTTTCCCGTAGCTGGACGGAGGACAGATTTGTTCTGTCACTGTTTGTGAAGTAAATGCGTCAGCACAGCACTGCAAATTAAAGCAATGAAACAAATCTGAATACCTGGCTCCGAGGAAGTCACAAGCATTCTTCCCAGGTGTGGGCAAGAGGTACAAGGCATGTTATCCCACAGGAAGGAAGCCCATCTCTGACGTTTCCCTGCTCCGTGTCCGTTATCTCTTCTGCAGGCCACACCGAGAACTTCCAGGATGCTTTTGACAGACAGTCGCTGGTTTTGGATAAGCTACCCCTGGCTTTTTACGCAGGCATGTTCGCATATTCAGGCTGGTAGGTGTGACGGGAGGGCACTTCATGGGCAGCAGACTGGTGTCCGAGACATGGCTCAAACTCTCCCCCTGTCTCTTCCCACCGTGCAGGTTTCAGACCAGCTTTGTGCGTGAAGAGTTGGTCAGACCTGAACGGTAAGGCTGGGAAGAAGTCGTCTTGGGTTACCAGCCTCTGCGGTACCGTGGCTTTCCCAAACGCAGTATGGGAGGGAATAAGTTTGTGGGTTCACCTAACCAATGCCAGCTGCAATCTGCAGTAATACTGTGCATAACAAGGGATAACAGCTTGTTCTTTGTGTGTCTCTCTTCCCCTTTTTTGTAGAAATATTCCCCTGGCTGTCATCGTGTCCGTGATCACGGTAATTGTGGGGTACATGCTCACCAACGTCTCTTATTACACAGTCCTGGGAACACAAGATGTTCTGGCTTCTCCTGCTGTGGCTGTGGTGAGTCGTCACCCCTACCGTTATATTTCCTCAGTGTGGTCAGCTTATGATGAAGGGGTGGTCATGGCAAGTGTTTCGGAGATGGTTTTCCTATAAAACGCTTTATTGCTTTGTCATTTGTCTGGATTATTGGGCAACAGTAACTTCTTTTAGTCTTGCCTAAAAGATAATGAAAAATAACCTGCAGATTACAGTAGAAAAGGCAAGGTTTATGAGTTATATTTTACTCCTTCAGTGGAAGAAGTTTTCGTTCTTTTGAATCTGATGTTGTCTAGAGATCACCACATATTCCTAAAGTCATGCTTGCTCTTTCTCCAGAGCTTTGTGCAGCGAGCCTTCAAAAGCCTGATCTCCGTGGTCCCTGTCCTTGTCGCACTGTCCTGCTTTGGAACCATGAATGGAGGAATCTTCACATTTTCAAGGTCATGTCCATAAGAATTTATTACTCTTTTGGCTTACTGAATTGGAGGGAAGCACCAGCGACCTGTGCAACTGCCCACCCACGCGATGGCATTTTAGCAACTCTTGTGGGAAAAATAAAGCCTTTGACTCCCAGGATGTCAACTACAGGATGATCCCTGTTGGCTGTCTACCCTTTCTATTTCTGGCCAGGTCCAGACTGGTATCTAGGGCTGGTCACAAAGAAAGATTTTTATCTTTTCCCCCCACCCTTTAGTTTAAATCCGCAGTTTAAAGTGAAATGTCAGTGTTTCTGGTGAACTAGAGGCTTTGTTGATGTTGGCAGCTGCTCAGTGAGACCGAGTCTTCTTTTGCTGGGTTCACCCAGCTGCTCTGCTGCAGGGCACAGGGTCCCTCTGTTGTGAGGATCTCTGGCTGAAGGCAAACTCTCCCTCGAGGACTTTGCTTTGAGGTCAGTGAAATGTTATCAGGGACAGGCTATTCCTAAAGCAATAGTTGAGGCTCAACAAGTCTTGTTGCAGCAATAAGAAAAGCTTTGTTCCATGGAAAAATTATCTTGCTGGTTTCACTGGCTACTACACTGAACGTCCTTATGGGAGCCTTGAAATTGGAGTGGAGGGCAGAGCTCACGGAGAAGCACGTCATGCTGGTCCCCAGGAGCTGAGCAAACTCTCTGGAGCTGGTTCTGTTTCACAGATTTGATCGCAAAAGGAGGAGCTGAGCAAACTCTCTGGAGCCGGTTCTGTTTCACAGATTTGATCGCAAAAGGAAAAATCAGTTGATATGAAAGGGATGTTTCATAGCGTGAAAACTAATGAGTTATTTGATCTGCTACCCCAAAGTCCTGTATTAAATACAGGTGTGGAGAATCCTCCCTGTTAGCTCCTCTAGATAGTGGTTTTCTTTGAGGATGAGAGGTCCCCGGACAGCACAGGGGTTCTGCGTATCCCTATCGCCTTTCTCTCCCCCTTCCTGGCACCATTAACATAATCACTGCAGAAAGGCCATATAAACAGTGATGGGGCCTCCCTGGCTGCTGGCCAGCCACACCCCTGCAAAAACACAGAGACAGCAATAAAACCAGTTTTACACTCATACCCCAGCTGCTTTGGGCCCTGCTCCAGCCCAGCTGATGCTCTGGCATGGTTTGTTTGTGGATATTAAATTTATAAAATTGGATTCAATACCTTCTCCCTAATTGCCCTTTTTTGAGTCAAAGGAGGGATGGAGGCAAGGAGCTCTCTGCTGTCATTTTGTAGCTGGTCTTGTGTGTAGCTGGCCTCTTGGCAGTACACCAAACTATGTTTTCCAACAGCTGGCCAGAGGATTGAAAATCCTCTATTTTTTGAGGAAATTGCACTTTATTTTCTTATATATATTTTTTTATATATGTATTTTTTTTTATATATATATATATATGAATATAGGCATCAAGACTGACAATCCCCTTTCATAAACTCACCAGCCTCTTTTATAAAGAATTGAAGTTTGTCACCCCTCCACTTCCTACTGGAAAGATTAACCCCTTCTCTGATGGCAAGAAACTTTATTGCTTCTGTTTCCAGCCTGAACCCATTCATGGTCACTTTGGACTCGCCTGAAGGTCTCTGCTAACGGGCCACCCAAGGGGATGCTGCCAATGGTCCTGCTGGTGGGCTCTGCGCTGCGTTGAACTAACTGGTCCTGGGAGAGCTATGGGAATTCAACATTCGGTTTTTCTTCCAAATGCCCCAAAATTGCAGCTAAAGGCAAAACTGTGGCCTTGAATAGCAGATCTGTGCTGGGGCCGGGGGGAGTGCCTTGTGGCCTCGGGTCAGTCCAGTGACTGATCTTCTCATTTCTAGTCTGGATGTGGGATGCTAATGCATAGGGCTCCCTGTCTTTTCCTAGGACTCTGTTTGTGGCTTCCAGGGAAGGACAGTGGCCTCCTCTCTTCTCCATGATCCACATTCGAAGGCATACACCCCTTCCTGCTGTCATGTTAATGGTAAGGAGATCTGGCTGTGTGACATGCCCTGTTCTTGTAGTCTTGGCTTTCTTGCAAAGCGTGGAGAAGCTGAGGAATTTTCAATGGTGTTGAGACACTAAGTCAGCCTCCGAAAAATAAAGATGATGGACTACTGGAAATGGCTGCAAAGTATTAAGTCCCCTTGTGCCAGCAGTGGTATCGAAACCCACTACCTTGAAGTCCCTGCCTTATAGCCTTGGACACCTTTTTTAAGTACTGTCCCTACCGTCTGCCACAGTTGTTGCTTGATATTGTCCTATGAAAACACCTCTGCCAGGCTTTGGCTATTTGGAAAACTGAAATTCCCAGGTGAAGTGGAAATGCAGGGAATGAGCATTTGCAGAGATGCTCTCAGCTTTGGTTTGTTTTTTTTCCGGCAATGGTCCAGCTCCATCCTAACTGTTAGGCAGTGCCTCTTGCAGCTTGGCTGACCTGCTAGAAACTTAGCAGGTATCTTTGTAGGTAGCCTTTGTACTGGCAGCGCATGCTTTTGGATCATGCATGTTTTAATTGCCCTGCCTAGGACATAAAGGATCAAAGATGCTGTTGATCTTTGAAAGGATTGCTCCTTTCTGTAGTACATCATAATAGTGCGTTTAGGCCTTTTGCCTTCAGTCTGTGACACTGTTTTGTAAAGCGCTCTGACCTCTGAAATGTTGGGGCTGTGAAGTAGCTGCCTGTGATTGCAGGGGGGCTGGAGGAGGTGATCCATATTACCCTTTCTAGTCCGAGGACCGTAGTAAGGCTTTAATGACTGTATTTCATCTTCACAATGCTCAGTTCCCTTTGGTTACTGCCATGGTGTGTATCGGAGATATCTACCATCTAATGAACTTCTTCAGCTTTTCCCGATGGCTCTTCATAGGATTAGCCACCCTCGGGCTCATTGTCCATCGCCACCGTCACCCGGAGCTGCACAGCCCGTTCAAGGTAACGCATGGCCTGTATCTAACAGCCAGGAATGCACAGGCTTGTCACTTCTCTCTCCCTTATGGCCATGTCATGCTCTAATTATTAGCAAATGATTGCCTTTAGGCTCTAAGGGGCTTAGGCTCTAATCCCTGCTGCTCAGTAAGGCATGTAGGGAGCCTGCGAGGAGGGACCCTTGCCTGGGTGTTATTTCAATGGTAGGTAAGTCTCAGCTCAAGCTGAGAAGCAGAAGGGCTTGGGGGAAAAGAGCACGGCTGGAGGGACCTTGGGAGCAAACCTGACTCAAGGGGAGTCATCTCCTGGCATAAAAATATTGCATAGTGTAAAGAAGCTTGCGTGCAAGTATTGCTGCTGCGGGCCCCGAGGATGTGCCCAGCGTGTGCATGCATACCACAAAGCGTTTTGTTCAGCAGTCAGCTAACAGCAGCTAATGGCCAATGCAGTGTGTGGCCCCGTAGAGAAGGACCTGCCCTCCTATCCCAGGGAGAGGAAGGAGAATGGCTTTGTGAGCCTCCAGCTGTGTGTGACCTTTGCGGGCCGCCCGTTGTACCAAGAGCCCAGGCGGCCGGTGGGGTTTGAGGAGCTGGCTGACACATGCAGCATCCAGACTTCTCCCATGCTGGTTTCCAACCAGTGCTGCTGGTGCACCTGTTGTTTTCCTGGTTGCTGGCGGGACAAGTCTGCAGGAGAGTACAGGATTTACTGCACAGGCACCGCCCTGCCTGTGCACCTGCAAAGCTCCAGCACATTCGGACTGGTGACCATAAGCAGAGGTGTTAAAAGTGGGCAAAGGGAAGGGGGGAAGCAAGGGGATTCAATTCCCCCTCCTCAGTGGAAAGTTGGAGGACGCCTTGTCCTCTCGTGCCTTTCCTTAGCCTCCAGCTGGGTGCCTCCAGTGGCCCTTCTCACGCTGCTGAGTGCTGCGATTCTGCTCATGGGGACCAGTCGGTCACCTCATGTCCAAGCTGGAGTTGGTGCTGGAGCAGCTTTCTTGCACTCGGGTCACCTTTCCCGCTGCCAGATAATGTGCAGAAGGAGTTTGGTCGGGGCGGTACTCGAGGCGTGCACAGTTTGTTCCTGCCTCCAGTCGTGTGTGCATGGTGCCACCAGCCAGCCCCTGGGGAGGAGAGGAGACCTCTGAGGCCACAGGCACTGGGCAGCCGATCGGCGAGAAGCTCAGTGGACAGAAACGCTTCCCGTGGCTCCCAGGGCTCTTCCACGAGCCACAGGAGGCCTGATGGCGTTTGGGGTAATTTTTCTTCTCAGTCTTTGCTGGAGACAGCATGTTTAGCAGAGACCTTGAAGCTTCCCAGTTTTTTGGCTGGCTGCACTCGTGTACTCACCCAGAACCAGATTTTAAATAAGTTTTGTCTTTTTCTTTTAAACCACGCTTCTCAGGGGAAGTTTATTAGTGGATAGCACTGGTGATGTTTTCAGCTGCTGAGATTTTGCCCCATTTTGGTTTAGACAGAGATTTAGGCTTTTAATGGTTCCTAAAAGCAGATTAAGTGAGGGAGGGAAATGCTGGGGTTTTGTTCAGTTTGGTTGATTTCCCCCCGCCCCCCTCTAGTTTTTATAACCACTTCAAACCCGAAGCCCAGCTATCTGCAAGAGGGAAGGGCTGCGCGCAGGTGGTGTGGGCATGTGCTGCGCTCTAGTGGCCAGAGAAAGGTGGTCTTCTGCCACTAGCTTACGGAGAACAAATCATAAAATACACGTGATTGTGCCGGTGGTACTTCTCCCCTATAGCATTTTGAGTTAAAACTGGTGAGAAAACACTGGTAAGAGGAGGAAGCAGACCTCTCGCACAGCTCTCGAGCAGATGTGCAGCTTGAGTGCATGCACGTAGGAGAGGCTGGCAGGGGATGGTCTGGTTGGAAAGACAGCAAGAGCACGTAAGTTTGGTGGCTGGATGGCTGCCATCGCTAGAGCAACTGATCTCTTCCAGCTCGGCATGGCCAGCATCCAAAATAGGATCTCTGTAACCGGAAAAGAGATTGTCACCCTAGGTGAGACCAGCAGCTCCTTCATTCTGTCAGCTACGGCGAGGAGTAACTTGGCTGAGGTTGGATCCAAAGACTGAGGGCATGTTTCACAGTTTTATTATTTATTACAGTCTTCCAATTTACTCTCTGAATAACCCAGATGAATTGGCTCACCCAACAGCAGGGTAAGGCTGAAGTGCTGACTGCTTCTTTGGTCTTTCATCAGGGTGTCGTTGAAACTCGTGTTCTTGATGCAGGTGCTATGGAGATAGGGAGTCTGGTTTATCCTGTTTTGGCCACTATAAGTCTCAGGCAAGCTGGAGGCAGGTCAAAATGAGTCACGAGTGTTATAACCAAAGAACAGTTTGTGTCAAAGCACTGCTTCTACTCTTGGCTTCAGATTTTCCACCAGCGGTTGCCACAGGTGGCAAGTAGGTACGTGTGCATGTGCATGCACAGGTGCAGTACATTCAGAGAGCAGTGGGATATAGGTGACTTCCACCCCGCTTGGCTTCCAGTTGTGAGGTGAGGCTTATATTAGGAAGGAGGTATGCACCTCACAGGGTACACTGGGCTCCGAGGGTGGTGCAAGCCAATTTTTATTCTATGCATCCTACTTGTTCACAACTGATTGTACAGAAACAGCGTGCAGGACAGATGTATGATTTTTCTCATCTTCTTTAAGATGGAGAAATGAATACAGTGTGTGCTGGCACATATGGAGGCTGATTTGCTACAGCCATCAGTTTTGCCTGAGAGTCTTCTGTGCTCTTTTCCCCAGGTTCCCCTGTTCGTTCCTGTCTCTTTTACCATCATCTGCCTCTTCACAGTGGCAATGTCTTTCTACTCGGACCCTGTGAACATTAGCATTGGATGCACCATGGTTTTAAGTGGTTTTCCAGTCTACTACCTCATAATCCATAGGCAAATGTCAAGTCGTTGCCGTAGCCCATTTTGTAAGTACGCGTTCGAGTTTCAGTATTGTGGACCTAAACACGCTCAGGGGTGGGGGTGTTGGTTTGTTCCCAGGGCCCATCTCTAATGCAAGTCGCTCCATGACCAACAGACCTCATGAAACCTAAATCATTACCCCTGCCACCCCTTCAATGGCTTTCCCAAGGCACAGCCTCCGCAGCCGAAGAGACGAGGGGGTGGGCTGTGCTGCGGGTGGTTGGCGGCCAGGCACGGGTTGTGTCTGCCTGGCTTGTGAATATACTGATAAGGCAGCTTGATGCTTTGTTTTAAAAAGGACAGGGCTGAGGTCTACCAACAGGGGGAACAGAGAGGGTTGCTTTCGCACCCCAGCCCTGGTTTCTACTAAACTTTATCATATCTTCGGGATCACCACCTCTCGGTCAAAATTGGCTGACGCTGAGCAACAAGATCAAAAGTTGGGATGGAGAGACTGACTGGCAGACACTGTAACCCTGTGCACAGGCATACTTGCTGAAAGTATGAAAGTATGGGGAGAGGACTGGTAGGAGAAGATGGTGCCACCTGTGGGCTATCTGTTTGGTGAAGAGGCCAGGACGGTTTTTGGCACAGATGTGGGTGTGTAAATGAAATACATCTCCACCCCATCCAACGTCTAGCACAGATTTCCTTTGGCAGTAGCCCTGGTGGCACAATGATTTACTCAGAAACAAGAGCCCAGTTTTGAGTTTAATTTATAATTTCAGTTATGAATCTTGTTTTCTTTTGATTCGACGTTGGGCTGAGGTGTACCAGTAACCAGTGAATAGAAGAAAACATACAGCAAGAAAGGAAACAGATACAGTGATCTTCTGACATAAAGTGCTCCAGCCATCAGTGCTGATGCTCTGATTTTCAGCCATATCGCAAGATTTCCTCCAGACTAAACTTTCTTCCTTTTTATCCCCCTTTCAGATTATCTTACACACAAACTACAGTTACTGCTGGAAGTAGTCCAACAAGAAATCAAGACTTACTGAGAAAACCATCAGAACTTACAGGAGAAGATAAAATCTACTTACTCTGTTTCTGATACCTTTGATCTTACCAAAAGCAGGCCATGCTCTTATTCTTTTAATCACTGCAAATGAGGATGAGCCTGAGCCTAAACCTTGCTGCAAGTGTTCCTAAGCTTGCCAATCGGGATGAGCGTGTCACATCTGTCTCTGCCCTTTTCTTTTTTAGCAGAACAATCTGGTTCTCTGAAATAAGCTTGCTTTGCCCGCAGAGTGTCTTTGAAACCAAGATCCTAATTTTGCAGCCTAGCCCATCCCTCAGTAAAATAGTGTGTGTGTGTTTGTGTGTGTACACTGTTTGTTAATTTCCTAATTTGGCAAATAGAGGAAGGGAGCATATTGCAGAACTTAGTCCAATACATGGAAGCCAAATGCAGGTTTCAAACCGAAGCGTTGTTATAGCCGTGCTGTGGACAAGCATTATGAAGGGAAATGGGTGGGGAGATCAAATGAGAAATAAGGTAGATGAATTGGAAAGGAGGGGGTGGGGGGCTAAAACTTCATTCACCAGAAAGTGCAGATTCAGGTTAACGAGAAGGTATTTGAAAACCCTTTGAAATTCAAATATTAACAAAGTAAGGTCAGAATGTTTTGCTTGATTATTGTATAAGCAGAATAAGTTTATTTTGCTTTGAAATAATGTTTCAATTTTTAATTTTATTTTTCTACAATGACATTTCAAAATGTACAAACACATTAAAAAAAATCAGCTAAATATCCACAAGAACATGACAAAGTAGATGCTGATCCCTCCCCCAACTCCCCAGCCCCCCTCCTTACCTGGTACTACCAGTGAAGTTGAAAATTCAGAATTTGGCCCAACTCCAGTGAAATACACTTTCTCCTTTAGTTAGACAAAATGACTGATGAGACTTGGGCAGATTCCTTAATAAGTGCATCTTTTGGTGCTGTAAGAAGACATGAAAGACTTCATGTCAGAGCTTTAACTTTAAATCTGCGGTCAAATGTCTTACTGAATCGATACATAAATGCTCATTTGAACTATTGACATAAGAAAGGTTTCCGTTATTGGATTACTTTGGTTTACATTATTAATGTGGCAATGTTATGTCCAGATAAAACAGCAATTAGCTATTTCCAATCAATTGTTAAGCTTTTCCTAAAAGATGGGGAGTAGTATGTTGAGAGTCCTCAAATGACCGCTGGAAAGAGGAAGAGCAGAACGTGGAGCATTTTTAATCTTTTGTATCAAGCATTTATGTACTTAGAGTAAAACCAAAATAGCCTTTACAAAACCGATGTAATCTACCCAAACATGTAAAATTCACCATCAGGATTTGGAAATAAAAAGTGTGGCTTTTTTCCCAAAGCAATTGAGAATTATTATTCTTGTTACGACTGCTTTCTGTTCCTGTGCTAAATTAAGCTGGGAGAGCAGCCGTGTGGTTGCAGGGCTCGTTTTCCCCCTCCTTTCCCGCAGTTTAATTTACAAGCTGCTGGACGTTGTCCAACAGGAAATCCAGTCTCACTGGGAAAACCATCACAACCTACAGGAGGAGGTACTGGCTTTAAATGATAGTGTGGTTTCAAGTGAGATCTGGAAATGTTTCCAGGCTGAAGCCGAACCCCCTGGCACACCTTCCCGCAGCACCCTGCAGCCAGGCCCCGGTGGGGGTGGCTGGGGAACCAACCTGCAGAAGACCTTGCAGAACCAGGTGAGCCCCATCACCCCAACATAGCCTGAGTCCCACAGCCTTAGGTACTGGTTTGGGGGATTTTCCCCATCTTGAGGTAGAAGCATGAGGCGCTGCCAGCCTGGTCCCGTGCTGCAGGACCCCTGTGAGCACGGTGTACCCATGCCGTAGCATCAGTACTCGCGCATCAAACCTTGGAGTGGTCGGAAGCTGGGACAGAGCTGCTGTGTGTCTGCAGATAGACACATAGAAAGGGTGAAACGTCACTTTTTTGTGCATTTCCTCTGAAGAGAAGAAGGGAACGAGAATTTAAATTCCTGGGGGGAAAATAAGTAATCCTACCTGCTGGACCATGGTTTCTTTATACATGATAAATCATTTGACATATGCAGGGAAACCACACTCGGGTGCCTCTGCTGACTGTGCAGGAACGTGATCTTGCAGGGCTACATATAGAATGTTTGCTCCAAGACCTGTCAGATACTGGAAACACAGACAGATATAGTACCACAGTTACATTGAACATCTGATTTCTAACTGTCAACAGCTCCACGGATGACATTGCAATTAAAAGTGATAAAACCAAAAAATTATGATTTCAGAAGGTATCAGTTTACAGTGAGCTCAAGTTTCCAGTTTGTGGCAAGTTGTTTGTTTTTAGAGAGGACGGTATGCTGCTTCCAGCAAAGCTACGTAAACATTTTCTACCAAGCCAGAATGTTTTTCCTAGAGCTGATATCTCATGCCTACTGAAGCTCTTGGCTTCAGTTCAGAAGAGTATTTTACTAGACAATTCACATATGCAAAATTGAACCTGTGGGACCTGATCCTATAAATCTCATCAAAGGGAAGCATACAAGTTGTGCAACTGTGGAGATGAGAGCCAGATACTATATGGGAGGTTGAAAGCCAGTCAAGAAAGGCCAGACGGGGAAGAAACAAAGTTCAACTTCATCATCACATTTGTGGGTTTTGGTTTTTTTTTAAATACTATGTCTATAAAATGCACTCAGAGTGTAGACTTTCCAGAAACTAAAACAGAGGTTTATGTGTTTCAGCCACTACTGATCTGGTCTGACTAGATTATCAGGAAATAAAAGTGTTCTGGGCAATTCAACTGAACATAATTTGTGTAACAAAAAAAATTAATTAAAAAATGTTTGCATCTGAACAAGTTTATGTAGTTAGTACTACTTGACCTGTCGTTAAGCTTTATGCTTCAGAGCTCTGCTGGGAAATGCTCTCAGCCTTTTAGACTGAAAGGCTGGAGGTCAGACTGGAAAGCTCTTAACCCTTCTCTGATTTCTGTGGGGAAAAACAGAGCGGAGGCTCAGACTCAAGGTAAAGGAATAGAAATACTTGGGACAGCGCAGGGCTCTGCATGGGCTGACTGAGCCTGCCCTGCAGGGCTCTGCGCTTGGTTTGCACTGGTTTGGGTCACTCCATGCGGTGCTGCGTACTGCAACCCCTCTGAACAGTGCGATAACCACCACGGAGAACGTGTTGAGAGATGCTCCCGCTTTCTGCATTGAGATTTGGGGTTTGCCCTGCAAGGCAACACCAGCTTTTGGCTTTCAAAGAATGATGTTCAGCAGAAGCTGCTCCCAGCAGGAATCTTGAAAGGAGAAGGTCCTGAATATCCCCGGCCACTGGAAGGATGGGATGAATTGGGGCAAGGTAAGTGCTGGTGTGCAATGACAGGAACAAAGCGATAGGGGTAAGCTATGCCGGTTCATAGGGGTGTTGATTTTACTGATGAATCTGCCAAAACCGTCAGCTGTGCCTGGCCGCTCTGCTCATGCCTGGCAGATGCGCATGCGTATGGCGCAATAACCAGAAGGAAATATTACTCAGCTCCGTTTCCGAAGGGTCAGTGGCTAGCGGAAAGGCATCTGTGACGTCCCACGGACAGAGACTCCGAGAGAGACAGAGAGGTACAGGCGTGCAGTTGGGAGCTCACGAGGAGCTCTCACAGGCCAGTCGTATTTTATTTCTGAAGGTCTTACTGCACCCAGGGGACCTTTCCCATGTGGAGCAAGGGTTCAGAGGGCTCGTCTGACTGACTGGCACGTGGCTGATGCCCTCAGCTCCCGGGGGTGGTGGCTGGGCAGCCCGACGGCAGGACTGTGAGTAGGGGAGCCAGGGAGGAGGCTCTGACAGCTTTCCCGGGGTGCCACTGAGCTGGGAGGGAGGGCAGGGAGGGAGACGGAAGAAGTTGGGGATTTCATGGTTTGTGGGCTTTAAGGTCTGCTGGAAGGATAACTGCTTGTAGTTAGTCATACCGTAAGCTGTGTTTATATCTTCATTAATTCACCCTTTCTTTCGCATGAGAAGGAAGTGTGTAAGAGAGAAGGTGGCACGAGGTTGCTTTTTATGTATAAAATTTCCTCTGTATAAAGCTATTCCTGTGGAGATATAAAAAGCAAATTTACAGGGTATCTCTCAGTTGCACAAGACCAGATAGTGAAATCTTCAGCAAAAGGTGAAGGACACTACCTGTCTTGGCAGTGAAATATTTCTGTCTGCTTTATTAAGGGTTTCACCTCTGTTTCTTTCTAGTTGGGGTTAGTTGGTGAGTGGAAAATCCCTGCAAGGAGCAGAAATGCTGGCAAGTGAAAGTGAAAGTAGGGCACAACTGGACATTTTGGAAAGCTGATGGGGTTTGGGCAGGCTGGGGGCCCTGAGTCTTGGCAGGGGAGCCTGCAGGGGTTAGCATCCATCTGTGGAGTGGGAAGAGAGGGAACAGGAATGGGGGGAGCAATGGAGAAAAGCTGCCTGGAAACATCATCCCACCCCACTCCCCTGCTTTCCTCTCCGTTTCCCCTCCGTCCCCTCAAATCCCACACTTGGTACCCACAAACTTCAAATTTCTTGGCCGTGGCAGCAGCAGAAGCAGCACACTGCTGGGCAGACAGGAGAGAAGGAGCAGCCGCATCCAAAAAAAGCTCCCAGGAGTGCTGGATCTCATGAATCTCCTGCAACGGGATTTGAGAGAAAATGAATTGGGAGCATTTTTCTAGGAACAGGGCTGGCTGGTGTTACTGTGTACAAAGAGCAACCGCGGTCTGAAGACAGCAATGGAACAAGCTAAGGCTGCAAGGGAGACTTGGGTCTTTCCTCGCTCTTTGTTCTGGCACTCCGGTGGCTGCCAAGCCTTTGTTTGTGGACCTTTGTACTGTAAGCTCTATAAGGGAGCTCCTCCTATAATGATTTCCTCTGATTAGCCTGCTCTGAATACCCGTGATCCCTGCCAAAGCATGAAGGGCGTCAGAGCCAGATAAATGATTATTTCCAGTTTCTGTTTGAATACTGTGTTCAAATTCTTCGGGCAGCTCTGAGTAGCTCAGCCACAGACCCTTGCAAACTCCATGGCAGGCAGGTGGGCAGGTCTTGGCTGCATGTATGTGCTCCACAATAGGGTAATGTTGTAGGAGCAGCGAAGTGATGAGATGCATAGAAAAATGTTGTCTGGGTCCAAAACTGGGACATTCAAAGGAGGCTGAAGCACAGCAGCAAGCAAAGTAAAATCCTTTGAATTTGAATTATTGGTGGCTACCTGTTTCAACTTCTTCTCTTTGTAGGTGCTGTGTCTCTGGGGTAGAGCGCAGAGCACAGACTTTGCTGGTAAGTGATCCCCCCCCACAAGGATTTTGACCTTGGCTGGCTGCCAGATGCCCACCCAGCCGCTCTCTCACTCCCCCTCCACCCGCCAGATGCACCCAGCCGCTCTCTCACTCCCCCTCCACAATAGGACAGGGGAGAAAATAAGATGGAAAAATTCACGGGTTGAGATAAAGACAAGGAGATCACTTAGCAATTACTCTCATGGGCAAAACAGACTTGACTTGGGGAAAGTTAATTTATTGCCAATTAAAATAGATTTGGATGGTGAGAAACAAAAACAAAAATTAGAACACCACCTTCCCCCCATCCCCCTTTCTTCCCAGGCTCAAGTTCACTCCTTCATTCCTGACTCTTACACCTCCCCCCTCGCCCAAGCGATGCAGGGGGGATGGGGAATGGGCATTGACCTCAGTCCATAAGAGTTGCCCTCTGCCACTCCATTGTCCTCAAAAATTTCCCACGCTCCAGCATGGCTCCTTCCCACGGGCTGCAGTCCTTCAGGATAAGCCTGCTCTGGCATGGGCTCCTCTCCATAGACTGCAGCTTCCTTCAGTGCATGTCCACATGCTGCAGCATGGGGTCCTCCATGGGCTGCAGTGTGGACATCTGCTCCACCATGGTCCTCCACAGGTTGCAGGGGGACAATCTGCTTCACCATGGTCCTCTCTATGGGCTGCAGGGGAATCTCTGCTCCAGTGCCTGGAGCGCCTCCTCCCCTCCTTCTTCACTGACCTGGGTGTCTGCACGGCTGTTTCTCTCACGTTTTCCTTCACTTCTCACTGCTGGGCAGCTTTCTCAGAGGTGCCACTAACTTGGCTGATGGGCTCAGCTGTGTCCTGCAGTGGATCTGTTGAGCCGGCTGTGTCCGGCACGGGGCACCCCCTGGTCTCTTCTCACAGAGGCCACCCCTGCAGCCCCCCGCTGCCAGCACCTGGGCACCTGCACCCTGTAGAGTACCTGTGAGTGGCAGCTTTGCTTTCCTGAATGCTAAAGGAGGGGTGATACTATCAATGCCTTCTGAAGGCATTCTGACTTCTGCAGCTGATCACGCACTGCCTAGAAGCCAAATCTTACTCCTGTTAGCCAGGTGGCACCACTGTCCTTTATGTAACGAGCTGGGTTTATTGTGTCAAGTTGTATTTTCTTCCAATGTGTATTTTAGAAATATATATTTTAGAGAAAAACAGTGACCCGGGTCCAAGCCACAGAGGTCAGGGTCATTTCTGTGATGCTTACCATGCCCCATAAACGTACAAACATCAGTTCGGGGTCAAACCTGCACTTCCCAGCTGAAGGGGTCTCCTTTTCTGAGGAGCGATTAGACTTCTGACAAGACCAGGGATATCATGTAGTCTGACAGCTTTGGAAAAGACCCACACTTCAATCTGGATTTCTTTTCTAATGTTAGGGCCGAGGAAGCAGCCAGGCGTCGGTCAGCTCTTCTGTGCCTGTGGTGTCTTCTGACTCATCTGTCTGCTCCCGAAATGGAGTACGCCTGGTATTGGCTCGATGATTCTGGGCAGTGGATTCAGTATGGGGAAGAGGTGAGATCCATCTGCTGTTGACGCCAAAAGCTCTTGTTAAGCCATCTTTGGAGAGTTGTTTAGGGCACGTTGTTCTGCAGCTGGTGTGTTTCACACACGCTGCTGGTGCCCTTGCAGTGCTTCTCTGATGCCCTGGTGCATTTGTCTTATTAATTGTCCCTCAAAGCAGTACTTCTACTCTGTGAAAGCTTTCAAAGGACTGGCTTTGAAAGCGGGTGCATTTTCCAGAGATGATGGATGTCTTTTGGCTGAAGCTGACCACACGGGCTGAAGGCTGCTTTGTTGCTGTTGTCACAAGCAGCTGTTCTCTGTGGGGTGCCCCTCCGTCGCTGAAGAGCAAAGTGCTTGGAGCCTTAGAGACTTAGTTCAAAATGGCACCCTGTGATAGGGGCCTGGGGAAACACTGGTATTTCCCCACAGTGTCACCTAAATCAAAGACTGGTTTCTAACAGGTATAATTTCCTTGTTCTTTCTATAGCATCCGGATCACTGCTCTGCCACGGTAACATCTGCAGATCTGGAGAAGGAATTTCTAGCTGACCACAAAGGCACTGTGTTATTCAGGGCTGGTTCTCAGAAGTATAAGTTAAACTTTGAAGGTGAAATATCTCCTTGTTTTAAGTTTGTTACAAAGTGTAGCTGGCTCTAAGGTAGCCTCCTTCATGCAGAGTTGTCACCCTATGTCTGGGTTTCTTTGAACAGGTCTTTTTCCTCCTGTAAGTTTTCTCCAAAAGCAGAACTTGAGCAGTATGTACATTTCTCTGCGGTTTTGAGATGCCCTGCTCGAGCTTCTAGACTTGTGCATCTATAGTCAAAAAAGCATCTCTGACAATATTGTATATTCAGAAGAAGAGCTGAGAGTAAACACTTCATGGCATCTGGCTTATGCATTTGGGTTTATACAACTAAAGAGGAGAAATGAGAAAGGGAAAAAAATAAGCACTGAAAAGTCAAATGGTGAAGAAGCGAGCCCATGATAGACATCTTGCAAGCTAGTTACGGGGAGAGAAAGCACACAGTGCAGCAAAGGAAAGTTTAGGGCTGGTTGCACAGAGAGAGAATAGGAAAATGAGAAATGCTTTTCTGTTTCTAATTTATTTACCCATCTTAAAATTCCTGTTAGCTTTCCAAACTTTAAATGTTTCCTGGCATGAATAAAGAGAATGGTGTTTAAAGGAGGAAACAATGGATAATTAGCCATGTCACACAGCATGCGCTCTGTGGTATTGTTACAGGACCAAGAAGAGAGGGCAGACTTTCCTCTTAGCACCACATAATAGTCCTGCACTGCTGGGAAAGCCATATTTATGGCCTCCATCGTATTGAAAACTCTTCTCCGCTGTAGGCCTGACATCAGATGTGGTTTTCTCTGGCCGACAGCCTGGATGTGAGTGCATGTGCAGGTGCAGTTGGTGGTTGGTTGCCTTTGAGCTTCACAACCTGTGCTAGCAGGTGGTTGACCTTGCTGATCTCCAAGCAGAAGCAGTACAAGTGGCAATGGTTTTGAAGTATGGAGTGGGGTGGGTGTGGTAGAGAGAGCACCACCATGTGGTATTCAGGGCTACCTCCTTTTTGATTTTTTCTAAAGACATAAGAGTGTGTCCCTGGGTAATAAATTATCTAATTATTGAGGCATTGTGTTTTTCTTTCAAGACATGGTCCAAACAAATTTGATCTATGAAACCCAAAGAAAAGTTGCCCGACTGCCAAAATTTCTGTCCTCTCAAAGTGGACAAGACAGAAGGTAATATACATTTGTTATTTAATAATGTCTCTAGATGACAGCACCTTTCTGCTAAGAAGTTCCTCCTATCTGTCTAGAATTCAATTTTAGATTTCTTAAATTCATTTTTAGGTACCTTTTGCTGACTGGTTTAATGGCAAATTTTGCGGTGACAGTATTTGTAAATTATGCAACACATCTGTGAAGTGTGCTGGGAGGGATGTTTGGTGGCAGTCTCTGGCAGCTGTGAGAGACCCCTAGAGTAGATCTGTTCTCTCTGTGAGAGCAAGGCCACATACGGCTGACACAACCGTGCCAGGAATTTTTATTCCTTGATTTATGCCCCAACAATACTGAATAAACTGTGCACAGAGTAGGAGCAAGGGACTGCCAGTCCCAAGATCTGTGGAACAGATAGATGCCATCCCCTGGAAAGCTGAGGATAAAATAAAACACAGAAGCAAATCCCTCTAAATGAAGTGAACTGGATGCGCTTATTTGGGATACCCTATCTTACGGCTTTTTTAAAGGAAGTTCAGCTTGACAGAATTTGAGCATGTCTCCTGTAAAAGTTAGTTGTGCTACTGCTTTGTTTTAAAAAGAGCCTTCTCTGCTTCAGAAACTCACCACCAGTGCGTTTGAAGCCAAGGGTTCAATTTAAGGGTTGGTTCAACCAAGGGTGGGATGATTCAAAAAGAAAACAAACTGGCGCTCCTGAATGGATGCTAATGCTCCTATTGCCTGGGTTAAAACATGCATGCCAGGAGGGCATTAGTGCTGGAAGTTGTTAAGCACTGACTCCTGCAGTAGTGCCTGCAGGGCACAACTGTTCACCCACAGCCTCCTGACAGGCTTGGTCATGGGGACAGGTAGGGGCAGGTCACCCGTCTGGCCAGCGATTTAGAGGTGAGTAGCCACATGGAGGGAGAAGGGCTGACGCTCCAGTTTCCTAGAGGTTCAAGCAGCACGCGTGGAGGGCTAGCTGGGAGCAGTTGCATAAACCACCCGGCTAGGAGCATGTTACTTCTCATTTGAAGCTCTCCTACCAGTGTCTTGACCTGCCAAGAGATGCATCAGTGCCACTAGGATATGTGTGGAAATCTAAACTGGAGAACGGGATAATGGTTATGTGGAAAATAAAACAAAAATAAAAATCCAGGGATAGCCAAAGGCTGCTGTAGAGCCGGTGGCTTGATCCTCCAGAAGGGGGATTTGGTTAGGAGTATCATGGACTGACTTGCTCCTTTTTCTTTTCTGCAGCCAAAACATGACTCTGTCACGTTCTGTCTGTCCTCCACAATGGGACCAATCTGCACTGCCTGATATTGGGTTCAAGGTATGTCTTTTCAGCTCTCCAGGGCGGTAGGGTGAACTGTGTCCTATACTGATTTTTCTGAGAACGTGACGCAAGGCACTTGAGATGTTCCCAGCTTTCAAACACGTCTTATAAAATAAGCAACTATGAGGTGAAACAAGACTGACAGTTTCACAGTCAGAATAGACCTGTGTCTCCTGGGAGGCTCTCTGAGATCCCCTACATACACCATGCAGGATAAGAAAGGCCCTTTTGGCCGTTACTGGTCTGACCTGTCCTTTGCACTCTCCCAAGGCACCTGATCCTCTGATAAACTGGATGAATTGCATCTTAAGGGGGTGTTGTAGTATCTCCTCCATCGATTTGAGGCAAAATGTTATTTGTTGTGCTAAAACTAGGGCTTAGCCCTGTAGGGCAGGAGCTAGGGTGTCAAATTAAGGTGAAACTGATATTCACTCTTCTCCAGCCTGAATACTGCTGTGCATTTCATCTTTAGGTTATGCTGAAGTAAAAATAATCTATATGCAGAGGTGCGTCCACTGAAGGAAGCTCGCGTGAGATTGCATTCATTTCCCTCAGTCAGCGCCTGCGCTTCCCGTATGGGGAGTGGGGGTGAAGGTGGGGAGAGGATGGTTAACTGGAAAGACAGGAGAAGCTTCTGATTTTAATGGCAGGACTTTTCTTCTGATGTGAGGAGGTTGATGAATCCTTTGAAAGGACTGTGAGTTGTTACTATGAGTGTCGTGGTTTAACCTCAGCCGGCAACTAAGCACCACACAGCCGCTCGCTCGCTCCCCCCCAGTGGGAAGGGGGAGAGAATTGGAAGGGGAAAAGTGAGAAAACTCGTGGGTTGAGATAAAGACAGTTTAATAGGTAAAGCAAAAGCCACACACACAAGCAAAGCAAAACAAGGAATTCATTCACTCCTTCCCATCAGCAGGCAGGTGTGCAGCCATCTCCAGGAAAGCAGGGCTCCATCACACATAACCATTACTTGGGAAGACAAACGCCATCACTCCGAATGTCCCCCCCTTCCTCCGCCTTCCCCCAGCTTTATATGCTGAGCACGACGCCATATGG